TTTCTTTCTTTTTTTTTTGAGTGCTGATTTTCTTATACCATTGCTAACATTAAATGTTTATAATAAGTCTTTCATTTTACCAGATATACATCAGCCCTCTCCAGTCTGACAGAAAGAAATGATTGTCTTAATGCGCTTCCTTGATTTGCAGTGAAACTTTTAAAAAAGTTGATATAAGAACATGTTAAGGATACAGGTTTCCCTCGCTATCCAAAAGAGAGGGGTCCTATGAAACCTTTTGTAAGTCAAAATGGCATAAAATGAAGCAGCAGCTACCTTACATGCATCTTGCTAACAGATGCACAGAATAAATTGAGATAAAGCATAGTAGCTCACAGACACAGTTAAAAGTTATAGCAGTTTGATAGTGACCATACATATTTCCTTGGGAAAGAAGGTTGGTAGTAGTGCCATTCTTGCCACTCAGGGTGCAGGCTACCTCTGAAACAGCTTGCGGAACAAACGAACAGTGTTTTTGCTTTTTGCCTTTTTTTTGTAAAAGTGAAAATCCTCCTTGGATTTCATTCAGTTAGTGAAAACAAAAACTAATGTAGTTTTTCATTGGAGTGTGGAGTGTTCCTTACTTTCGTCCTTTACTTGAAGTGGTCATCAATATACCATATTCATGACTGATCATCCTTTGACTGTTTGAAAGTATGGCATAACTGGTTTACAAATCATAGGAACTTACAGCATTTGAGTTAGCGTTATAGTTATTGCAGCAGAGTGGTTCTTAATGTTTCACAGTACAAGTATTGTTTAAACTGGATGCCTAAACTTTTTGAAACAAGTCTCTAGCCAAAATAAGCAGCCTACATTCATATTCCAGTTTCACAAAAATGTTGCCATTTCTAAGTACCCTGATTAGATTTAGATCCTTGACAGCCTAGCATGGGGAAGGGACAGATTTTTGTGTTTGGAAACTGGTCTTCTGTGACATAAATGTGTTACAGTATTTAAAATTTTAATTTGCCATTCAAAGCAGGGAAGAGCTTTAATGACCCCACTTAATAAAAGTGACACAACTAATGGCAGAGGTGAGATCAGAGCAGCATAACTAGTAGAAGTAAAATCAGTCTTGCTTTCTCTTTATCAGATGGCTTTTGGGTTGAGAACAGATTTTGTGGACCGAGTTTTGAATGCCTTTACACCAGAAGTCATGTGGTTTTTACCCTGTTTTAGGAGGGTAATGCTTGGTAGCAGTGTGGATGGCAGACTGGCATAGCCAGGGAATGGAAGGAGTGGGACCAGGTGCCAAGAGTCAGAACAAGTATTGGAATGGAGTTGTTATATAAAATGTTGTTGAAGTTTAAAAAACAAGAAAAAAGTAAAGATGGGCATGTGTTGTGTGCAAGCTTTGCCTTGTTGTAAATTATTTTAAATATTATAAAGAAAATGCCCTATGTTATGAGAGAACTCTGAAAATATTTAGTATTGTGCTCTCTTCCTCCCTCCTGACCCCCAAAAAAGTAGAGTTGGGGGAGGAGTGTTTGGCTGCCCTTTGTAATTTTGTGCATGTGTGCTCACTCAGTCCTGTCCAACTCCTCATGACCCCATGGACTAGCCCACCAGGTTTCTCTCCCTTGGGACTTTCTAAGCAAGAATAAGGGAGTGGGTTGCCATTTCCTCCTCCAGGGGATCTTCCCCATCCAGGATCGAACTCACCTTCTTCATTGGCAGGCAGATTCTTTATCACTGAGCCACTGGGAGAGCCCTTTGTAATTTTGAAGGGTAGGGTACAATTTATCTCTTGCTCTGATCTAGAAAGGATTAAGATTTAAAAGGGCTTTAGTCATATTTTGAAAACTGACAAGTTGTTTACATTAAAGGTGGATGAAGAGGATGGATCAGAGCAGAGGTATAATAATTTTTAGTACCCTAGAAATTAGAGTACTAAAATAGTTCTTACAGAAGTACAGTGATTTTTGGATTTTTGTAGAGAACTTGCTGGATGGCCATCAGTTTTGCTCTAAGAATTCAGGCAGTAGCCTAAAAGTAGACACGAATATGTTCATGAGATGAAGGTGAACCAGTTATTCAGGAAGAGCACAAGCATTCTTTATATTTAAATGGAAAACCGGAAAGAAATTTTAATGGATCACAAATACTGTTGCTCTGTATCTAGTTTTTTTCCTTATTGTTTTATATAATTGTAGAAGTTATTTTTTTTAATAGTTAAGTCTGAAGAAAACTGCATATTGTTAAAAATGTCTCTAAAAAGTGATGGACTGTGGACAGGTGGCTTCTGTGTTCAAGAATTTGAGGAAGAGCTTTGCATTCTTAGGATTGATAGCTAGCTGTCTGGCGTATGGTTCCAGGAGAAATTCTGTAAAGGAGAACTTTTCAAATTACCCAACATTAGAATGTATATATTATTTTTGTTAGAAATAGGACAGCAGTAAAGAAGATGCTTAAATGTTTGTCCCTCTCCTTAATTTCTAATATTAAAATTAAATGTAAAAATTTGACTTCTTCCATTCAATCATAGTTAATGTTTCTACATGTCAGACATTCAGAGAATCTGGCATCCTAGAATCCGAGTCTAACTACTTGGGCTAAGCTTAAGCCATTTTTATTGGAGGCATAGGTGTCATGTACCTTTCAGAACATGTGTTTCTTTCTTTCCTTTCATTTGGTTGTGATTTATTTTTATTTCTTTCATACGTGTTCTTGAATTAGTATATATTCTATATATAACTTGTATTAAATATGTATACGTATAGAGATAAGTGATATATATGTTTTTTGAATTACGTGAGTTGAGTAAATCTGGTTTTATCTTCTATGCTGTGACTACATTTTTAATAAACATTTACAGCTGGGGTATGATTTGTTTCCCCATGAGACTGTTAATGTGGAAACTAATGTAGATATCAACATTTCCCCCACCCCCCAATTAAAGTAAGCAAACTTGGTGTGAATTTAGAAGTCTGAGCCTATATCCAGTATTTTTGGTAATATAGTTGAAATAGACAGCGGACTTTCCTAGCATTGTTTTTTGTGTGATGGTGAAGAACCTGAATATTTGGGAAAGAAAAAGAATGAGTCTGCAAGAAAGCGTAATGCCACAGAGAATGAGCACCCATATTTTGGTGATATTCAGACTCACCTGGTAATGAATTTAGCCTCTTCAGAAAGGAAGAGAATGCAGATGAACTATTACTTGCTCAAAAAAAAAAAAGAAAAAAAATCAGTAGAGGTTTAAGTTAGGAAAACATAAATTCAGTTTATACTTGACTTGAAAGCTCTCATTGCTTGCTTGAACCAAATCTGGCTAGAATGAACTTTATTTTCTTTACTGGCTCTACTTACATTAAAATCCTTTATAAAAAGTATTTATAATCCTGGGGTGGTCATGAAGGGCTGTAGTTTACTTGGAGAAATTCATATGAAGCAATGAACAAAGCACAAGTTTAATTACGCTAAGATATGTGGTAAGTGTATTTTTTTACACTTAATATGTAATTTATCTGGAATCTATTAGAGCATGGTGGGAAGAAATGATTGGGCAGTTTTGAGGGCTACCTTTTTTTATGTCAGTTTTATGGAATATGAGGATAGCTATTTGTTGATTGACAAAAATATGTATTAACCAAGGTATTATGAATGTATTTACAGTTATGTTAACTCCTATATTTTAATCATGTGAGATATTTAGTCTTTTGACAGTGCTTGGTGCTCATGTGGAGCCCCAGCTCTGTGAATTGACATCATAGTCTTGTATAGCAGTGGAGTTTATATTAAAGTTACTAGGAGAAAGTGATCTGACATAAATTAATTGCTATAAGAGATAAATCTGATTTATATTTATTCAGCAAATGTTACTGTAAGGTCTGAATTGAAATTGAGACAACGCATAACTTGTTCAGGAAGCATAAACTAAATGCTGTACAGTCTGTTGACTCATTAGTAAACACTGTGGGCTTTCTGGCATTCTTAGGTGTTGTGTTGATATCAGAAGACAGTATAAGACAGTCCCGCCTAGTGTAAACCAGAACCCAGGACAGTAGTGAATGCATAATGGGACTTAGCTGCATAGGATTCCTGCACCTTTTTGCTCTAGTAGGCTATTGTGCTTTAATTTAAATATATAAACATATATATATATTTAGAACTTGGAAAGAAGTAGAGATATGTGTGTGTATAAAATAAGTTATTTCTTAAAGAACAGAATTTGGGGCAAATAACTGATTCAAATGTTAGCTTTTTCTCCTTACCTGGTTTTGTACATTATTTGACCAGGCAGTTTTTAGTTAATAATTGTGCTGCTTTAGAATCCCTGTTCATTGACTTATAAAGAGAGGTGAACAAAAACAAGAATTGGTTTAAAAAAAAAAAATTGAGTCAGATTAATTTCCTAAACCATTTAGAACATACCAAACCTTTTCACTAGTTACGTAAAAATCCTGTTGGTTGTAAAAATCTAGAATTTCTCTTAAAACGGAAAAACATTTGACTACTCATTGTTAAAGTGTAGATCTTAGCAAAAATACTGTAACAAGCTTAGTGTGAATATAGCTCTCCCCCTCCAAGTTATGTTTCTATTATTTGCCTCATTATCTATGAGTTTTATTCATTGCTAGTCAGATGTTAAGTTCCACTTGGGGAATCTCTTGTGTTGGTAAAACTTTTTGTATTTATCTCATCTCTTTAGAAATAACAATTTAACATATTTGGCCTCTTTTCAAGAAGTAAAATTTCTTAGAAGTTCACTGTATCTTTGATAACATTTTCTTCTCTAGCAGTATATTTGATTGGATTCTTATTTATAGTTTATTTAGATGTTTAGATAGTAGCAAAGTTAAAATCCTTGGAGTGGGAGGAGAACTAAAGTTTTCTTCTTGGTCATTTAGTTTTTGCATTACTTTTTGTTTTAAAACATGTTTTTGGAGTATGGTAAGGAATCAACTATGTTTAGAACTGCATTTTTTCTAGTTATGCTGCTTTGTTTCAAATTGTGGAAATCTTTTGGCAGTAATTTTATCCAGTTCTGTTTGCAGTCCAGTTACAACACAGGGATCACAGCCGACACAGCCTCCACAGAAGCACTATGGCATTACCTCTCCCATCAGCTTAGCGGCGCCCAAGGAGACTGACTGCCTGCTCACACAGAGGCTCGTGGAGACTCTGAAGCCCTTTGGGGTTTTTGAAGAGGAAGAGGAACTGCAGCGCAGGTCAGTGTGTGTGTGTTTATGTCTTCTTTTAAGGTACAGTTTTTTATTAACATAGTAGGCTAATTTTGAGGAGTTCTGTACTGAGAGTCAGAATTTTTCTCCCCAGTATATATCTGTTTCAAACAAGAATGATACCTTGAAAAAACTTTCCCTCTTTATAAAGTTCTGTTTCCTTTATTTTGGTTTGCAGTAATTTTGGTTAGTAGAGTACTACAGCATTGTCAGGAGAAAGAGGAATGCCTTGCTTGGCTGAAAGATTGCTTTGCCCAGTGAAACAGTGCCTACATGTAGCTAACTACTATAAACTTTATTTCTGATAACTTAAAAACTGGTTAAAATTTAGGAAGCTGCATATTAAAAATGATCTGGAAAAGCAAACAACTTGATACTTGACTGATATCCTCTATCAACAGGATTTTAATTTTGGGAAAATTAAATAACCTGGTAAAAGAGTGGATACGAGAAATCAGTGAAAGCAAGGTAAGGTGACTTAATTGTATAGGAAGAAATTTATCAGCTGAACACAGCAGTTGCCTTATCTGTTCTTATCCGAGTGAATTTAGAGTCTTGAGTGTTTAGAATCTTTTGTTTTAGACTGTTGACAGTAGAATTTATATTTGGTGTCTCGCTATTTTGAAAACAGGAAAAACTGAATTAAATTCAGTGATTTTATAAATACATTTTGATTGAACACTTCAAAGCTGAAGCTCTGTGATTACTTACACATGTCAGAAATAATGTTTCCCTTAAAAGGTGCTTTTAAAAATGTATTAAATATGTATATTAACTATTTGAGACTCTTGTTACCTTATAAGGAATTCTGTAACAGTGAGCATTTTTAGACCTTTAGATACTAAACTCTCAAACTGAATATTTAGTTTATTTAGTTTTTTATAATACCATTCCTTGAGTTTCTAATATTTTGTTATAAAGAAATAATACAACTGTTGAATCAATGACTAGGCTTCTGGTAAAGGAAATGTATTCTTAAAAAGTTGTGTAGAAGCCATTTTTTTTAAATTACATAAATAGTGGTCATTTTTCCCGGGTAGTTGAAATGCACGTTTAGTCTATAATATAGTTGAGAAATTGATGGGAAGAGAACCAGAAATAGAAGAAAACCTGAGGCAAGGTATCAAGGTAGAAGAAAAGTTAAAATCTTCTAGCTTTAGTCAAATTTATAATTTTGTTTTCTTAAAGCAGTGTATACATATTTCAAGTAATTGACTGAAACTTTAGCAGCCAGATTATTCAAAATTGAGGATTCTATGTGTACTACATATTTGTCATTGATAGAGTTTTGGTAAAAATGTATTTTGAAAAGAACTTCCTTTTGAGCTAAAGCAAAGGATGTGCAGGTTTAAGTATTTTTACTCATTTATTGAACATAGTGATTCTTCATTCTTGTGTAGAAACACAGCTTTGCTTTAATGGCTTTTTATTAGACCTTTAAGTTGAAAACCATAGACAAGGCCAAAACATAGATTTGTTTAATGTGAAACAAGAGTTCTATCTCATTGATAGTTTTGTTTCAGTAATTTGAATGCCTTGTTAGTTTCATTAACTGATAGTTCTTGATATAATTCTTCTTCCTCATTTTCCTGAGGGTAACAAAAATTGTTTGGATTAATTTCATGTCTTGCCTGGTGACTCTGCTGGTAAAGAATCTGCCTGCAATGCGGGAGACCTGGGTTCGATCCCTGGGTTGGGAAGATCCCCTGGAGAAGGGAACATATATCCACTCCAGTATTCTGGCCTGGAGAATTCCATGGACTGTATAGTCCATGAGGTCACAAAGAGTTGGACACGACTGAGTGACTTTTACTTTTGCAATTAATGCTCATTCCTAATCACATTTGTGTCCTTTTCTCTGTAGTCTGTCAGTAGTAAATTGGTTAGAGAATGGGACTTTAGAGGTTAGGCTTTACAGGTTTGGTCTTTCATGTCTCTTCTCCTAGGGGGCATTTCTTCTTTTGTTGGTTTTAAGACTTGATGCAGAATTCCTTATATTGACACTGTTGATATGGTTGAACCACATAGTTCTCTCTTTTGACCTTAGTTCCCTAACCCAGGATTGAACCTGTGCCCTTGCAGAGTCTAAACCACTGGACCACCAGGGAATTCCTTATATAGTTCTTTTTTAGGGATTATGCTGGAGGATATTAAAAGCAGCACTCTTCCAGTTGAATGCACTGCTCCTGTCTGGTCGCCTCAAGTTGTGACAACCGAAAATATCTCCAGTTAAATCAGTAGAGAATTTTTACTGTATTAGTTACAATTAATTTATAAATATTTTTGGGAAAATTTATATAAAACTTGAATTTCCACTTAGTTTGATTTATTTGTCATCCTGTATTCTGACATTTATAAAAAGTTTTCAATTGAATTGTTTTTCTGTGATGTTGTATTAAGAAACAAGAGAGTCCCTGAGCCTGTTACAATTTGTGTTTAGGGTTTTTGGAGTATGAAGTAACAGTTTGGTCTTTTTGGCAGGGTGGTGGGGAAGAGTGGTCTTTTTTATATTCTGCTACTGAATCAAAAGACTTCACTGAGGAATTAGAAAGGAAAGGGAAACATGACCTAGCACACATGAAGATTTTGTGTGTGTGTGTGTGGAGAGACGTCATCCTTGTCCCCAAGGGCGGTCAGGTAGTCTGCATAGTAGAGTAGTGCCAGGGTCAGGAAGATGAAAATCATCAGGAGGTTTAGTTTTGTTCAGAATCATTCCACTAAGCTACTAAATCATCCTGCTGAACTATTAAGAGTAGCATTATTGACCTTAAAGTCACTCTTGATACAGTAAAATTATAGTCTAATGTACTGTGAGATGGGTTTCTCTGGTGCCTCAGTTGGTAAAGAATCTGCCTGCAGTGTGGGAGCCTCAAGTTTGATCCCTGGATCAGGAAGATCCCTGGAGAAGGATAGCTGCCCATTCCAGTAATCTTGCCTGGAGACTCCCATGGACAGAGGAGCCTGGTGGGCTGTAATTGCAGTCCATGGGGCGGCAGAGTCGGACAGGACTGAGTGACTGACGAACACTCTGCCTCACTGTAAGACGTTTGACACAGTCATTGAGTATAGCCTCTTTTAAGCAGTCAGAATATGTGTTTGTTAGAATCTCATGTTCATGAGTTATGCTGCACCTTGTCATGATTAAAATATGTGATTCTAGCATTGCTTCTGTGGAATCACATGATCTTGACCACTGTCGTCTTTATAGCAGTTTCAAAAAATATGGCAAAATATTACCACTGATTAAAAGTTGAAAATTGCTTAAATTTCAAGTTAGGTTGCTCTGTGAAGGCCTGGTATTTTGTAGAGATTATAGTTTGTTTACCTTGTATATAAATTTGCATGGAAAGTGTTTTGTTTTTTGTCTAATGTACAGTGTTACTTGAAATAGTTGCCTTTGTGTTCCACTGCAAAATGACTAATTTTTTGTTTGCTTCAACAGAATCTTCCACAATCTGTAATTGAAAATGTTGGTGGGAAAATTTTTACATTTGGATCTTATAGATTAGGAGTACATACAAAAGGTAAATACTGTTTTAATTATCTTGAGAAAGAATACTTTTTTAAAATTTTAAAAAAATTATAACCACATCTATCTCAGTTATTTATGGTGTATTATGCAACTTCAGTTTGCATGGAAGTACTTCAGGAAGCCTAAATGTGATAAGAAGAATGAAATAAAGTGATGCCTTCTATACTTGTACTCTTCAATGTAGTATTGAGTAAAATAAATTTCTGTTTCTTAGTAGAATTAGCCATATTTTCACTGTTGAGTAACCACATGTGGTTAGTGGCTATCATATTGGAAAGTGCACATAAAGTACAATTTTTGCCATTGGGGAGTGATTTTGGGCAGTGCTGCTCTGTATATTATTTGGTCTACCTGAAGAATATCAGTTTGGAAATCAGATCAAAAATGAATTAAAGTTTGGGGCAGGCGGGAGAATCTGTGGATTTCCTTGTCCTTTGTATTACAAAATCATGAAATATAGTTAAGGAAAAAAACCAAAAAAATGTGTATCTTCAGTCAGTATCAATCACTAATAATATTTTCTTGGTTACATTTGTAGGTTTTTCGCCCTGTGGGGAGAACATTATTGAGCTCTTTTTTTTTTTTTTAAACTAAACATAGTAAGCTTTTGGTGTGCATGATCATATTTATTCTTCAGTATTGTTATGTAACAGATAGCAGTCAGAGACTTAAAGAGACAACTTGATTAGTTGCTTCCATCTATCTCCTGGCAGAACTAGGATTCTAACTCTGGCAGTCTGAGGCTGTAGTTTTCAACCATTAACCACTAGCCTCTGTTAAAATTGTCTGTCGGGGGACAGTCCCTGGTGGTCCAGTGTTTAAGACTTGGCTTTCCAGTGCAGGGGATGCGGGAGCTAAGATCTCACCTGCATCCTGGCCAAAAAGACCAAAGCTAAAAATATTGTAACAAATTCAGTAAAGACTTTCGGAAAAAGTTATCTGCCAGTCTAGTATTCTCTGTATTATGGCATTATTCCTTCTCCCCATCTCCCGATACTCTGTGCCGGAAGCAGTGCATTTGCTTTGGATGTGTCCTGTCAACTTTACGTTCTTTTCTTCCTTCATGAGTACACCGGACGTCCTGCCTTCAGAATTAGTGCCTCAGGGATTGAGTCTTTTAAGAAAATGACTATGTTGACCTGATTTCATATTGATCTCTTCTTGTTATGATCCCAGTTACTGATTTTGATCATCTTTTCTTGTGTTCTCCTTATGTACTCGATGTTGGCCTTCTGTCAAGTCCTAAATTAATAGCAACTATCTTACCATGATCTGCCTCTTTGGATTCTTGCTGTTGGTGCTTCTCGAAGTACATAGGCCTCATTTAGGTTCAGGCAGGAGCCAGGAAGCAGCAGTCATAATGTACAGAGAGTAACTGTATGCTTTTTGTTTCCCTGATGAACGTGGTTGTGACTAGTGACTCCAGGTTGTTGGGTGTATCCTTGACTAATTACTTCTCTTACCATAGAAGTTCCCATCTGAGTCAGGTTACTTTGACTCCCAGTTGACCTGGGCCACTGCAAATAGAAGTTGCTTTAGGAAAAAATACATCCCATCAATTAGGGTCATGTTTTTATTGTACTGACTGGTAGCTTTTCTTTTTGTTTTTTTTAAGGAAAGGGGTACAGTTTTAGAGGCTCATTACTGTCAAATACTGCCATGATAAGGTGCAAAATAATTTTCTTGTAATACTAATTAGTAGTTGATGGGCTTAATTTTTTTTCTAGGTGCTGATATTGATGCATTGTGTGTTGCACCAAGACATGTTGATCGAAGTGATTTTTTCACCTCCTTCTATGATAAGTTGAAATTACAGGAAGAAGTAAAAGATTTAAGAGTACGTAAATGTTCTGGGTGAAAGGGGAGGAGTTAAAAAAGTCAGTTTAGTCAGTTGATTGAGTTTTTTATGGTGTAGCCATCAACTTTTTTGAACTCTTGTAGTTTGCCAGACCCTTTTAAGCTTAAGATAATACATGCCTGTATTTTATTCTTTACAGCAGTCTAAAAGTCATAAATCTGTAATCCCATGTACAGAGTAGGAAATGAGGCAAACAAAATAAATACTAAGCAACTTGGCCATCATCATGTATCATAGTAGCAGAGATCAAGGGTTTGAACCGAGGCTTGTCTGATTTAGGATTCTAGTGTCTTAAAGTATTTACTGAGAACCTAGTTTGTGTCAGGCATCGTAGTAAGTTGTATTTAAACAGTTTTAAGTATTGGATTTATTTAAGTGTACTAAAACTAGCATAATTCTAGTGTATAGTTTCAGAGACACTAAACTTACTTAATTTTCTCACAGGCTGTTGAAGAGGCATTTGTACCAGTTATCAAACTGTGTTTTGATGGGATAGAGGTAAGGTTCAAATAGACAGTTCTTACTATTGTAATTTTGATAGATGCAGATTAAAAACTTGATTTATTTCAGAGTTTTGTGAGATGGTGTGATAGTAATAAGAATTTTTTTTAATGGAAATGGTAACCTATTCTTTTATAACATTTTTAGTCTTTTCTAAAAAAAGAGACTTGTGAAACTAGAAGTTAAAATACCGACAAAAATGTACTGACTTTGAAATGCTGCTGTAGACCCGTTTCCTTGATAGATTTTCCATATGCAGATTCTATGTACTTTTAGTCTCACTAAGGCAGTCCATGGGGTCACAAAGAGACATGACTGAGCAACTGAACTGAACGCAATATAACGATGTATTTTTGCAAACAGCACTTTTCCTTGACTTTCATTTAAGTGAAATATGTGAGAAGTTGAGAGAAAATTTGATCTGGTGTTAGGTGTGCTGAAATGTTTTCTGATAGGGAAGGATACTTGAGCTTAGGTTCTTGAGGTGATGTGCAGTTTTCTTTGCTGTTTTCAGCATGTGTAATGACAGTAGTTGCAGCAAAGCTGACAGCGAAGCAACTTTAGTATTTGTTATGTTACTTCCGCATACATAATGGTGCTGGAACACCACTGATAGTAATTACAGTTGTAAAGTTTTGTGCAAAAAGTGGTTTCTGTAATTGCTGCATAAGGTACCTAATATATATGATTAACTTTAATAAGTTGACACAAAATGTTAAATTTGGTAAAGGATTATCAAGTTCAGGCAGGTTTGATTTACTAAAGTGAAAGTTGCTCAGTCATGTCCGACTCTTTGCAACCCCACGGACTATAGAGTCCATGGGATTCTCCAGGCCAGAATCCTGGAGTGGGTAGCCTTTCCCTTCTCCAGGGGATCTTCCCAACCCAGGAATCCCTTCTCCAGGGGTCTTCCCAACCCAGGAATCCCGAGTTGCAGGTGGATTCTTTACCAGCTGAGCCATACTTACTGTCAGTTTATTTAATATGCAAAACAACCTATAACGTGGGTGATGCCTTGTTTTCCCAAGATTTTTTTTTTTTTTTGGTGGAGACCCGCCTCATTGTGTGTGTAAACTTTTCAGAATGGAGACAAAAGTCAAATGGTTAGTTGAAATATTTAATGTGTGTGTTACCACTGAGTTGCTTTTTGAGTTTACATTTTTCCTCCTTTGAGCATGTAGTCTTTATTGAAAGTGAAAGTGAAGTCTGTCAGTCGTGTCTGACTCTTTGTAACCCCATGGACTGTAGCCCCCCACGCTCCTCCATCCAGGGGATCTTCCTGACCCAGGGATGGAACCCAGCTCTCTTGCATTGTAGGCGGATGCTTGACAGTCTGAGCCACCGGGGAAGTCTGCAGTCTTTATTATTTCTGTCTAAATTGGGGGAGAGACTAGATTTTGGTATCTGTATTATTGGAAAATTTAGACTATACCAAAAACTTAATTTGTGTAGTTTTTTCCTGATCTTATAGGTAGGTGCATGTTTAAATGATTTTTCACAGTAAGCTCTTAAAGTATACCTTTTTAAAGTGATTTTATAAAAAGACTTGTTTCTCTAGCAGCAAAGTTCGGAACCATGAAATCATGCCCTCAGGAATAATTACCAAATCTGTGCCGAGTTTTCTTTGCTTCCACCTTTCCTTAAAAAAAGGAGAATAAAAGCAATTTTGTCAGTAGCCAGTTTTTGTTTAGCCAGTTTTTGTTTCTGTTAGTTAAAACTAAGTTGGAGAAATAGACTGTGATAGTACAAATACATAAGTTCATAAATGCAAGAAGCTTCCTTTTTACTGACATGTTTATTTGGGTCACATATAATCATATTAGCCTTATATTTGGGAACCTTTCAGCATATGATCAATACACAGTTCATGTATTAATGGATGGAAACTTAAACGGTTAACTAATTAATCCTGTATGTATGCATTTAGCAAAGGTAGTGAATTAAAGTTAGTAAGTATGGTTAAAGTGATGGGTAACTATTTATAAAAGTTCTGTTTAGTATTACCGTGTTTTAAGATCTGATTAAAATACCTATGGTAAGAATTTTGTTTAAATTTTTGGAATTGTCATGTTAACAGCTGATGAAAAGATTCTGGTTTTAAGGAATATTTTCTTTTTTTAAAAGAAATGTCTTAAAACTAGTTTGGAAAAGAACATGTTTGGAAAACATGCATATGTATAACTGAATCACTTTGCTGTACAGGTGAAACTAATACAACATTGTTAATCAGCTATATTCCTGTATAAAATAAAACGTTCAAAAAACAGTTTGACAGATACAGAGGGTTAAACTTTGTTTTTGTTTTAGATTGATATTTTGTTTGCAAGATTAGCACTGCAGACTATTCCAGAAGACTTGGACTTAAGAGATGACAGTCTGCTTAAAAATTTAGATATTAGATGTATAAGAAGTCTTAACGGTATGTAAAAGCATATTTCCTTTTACATAATAGCAGTTTTGGTCAAATGTGAAACGGCTTTTAACTCGGGTTTTGTAGTGAAGCTTTTAATAGCCCTATTATTTATCTGTAGTGAGTCATATAAAATGAGCTTTTTTACTTAATAGTTAAGACTGCAGTGATACATTTAGTAATTTGTTGTATTCATCGGTGTCTTGCACTGTTATTTCTTTGCTCTCTGGAACTTTTAAATACTGTCTGACATTTGTACTCTTGCTGGTGGTTTAGGTCTCACTGTGTAACTCTGTTTAGATTTTGATCCCGATAACCTTGGTAACATTTTCATCTGTCTGCTGCATTTGAACACTTACTTTACCATTGCTTGTTACAGTGCTCTTAAAGAACAGTTCTTAGAAACTTCAGTGGACCATGCTCTATGCAGTGTGTCTGAACTGGAAGACACTTTAATTCTGGGTTGAAAATTTGAGATGAAGCAGAGTACAGTTCAGATTCTTTGGTTTAGGGTAGTGCTTGTGGTGCCTCTTTATTAACATTACTGGTTTTACCAAGCAGATTTTTATTTAATTTGACATTAGTCTCAGAAAATTTAAAAGAAATACTCTCATTAAACCTTTGATGATTTAATTTTTTTTTTCTTTTTACTCCTATTGATCAGGTTGCAGGGTAACCGATGAAATTTTACATCTAGTACCAAACATTGACAACTTCAGGTTAACCCTGAGAGCTATCAAACTGTGGGCCAAACGTGAGTTCAGAATTTGTTGGCTAGCTTATTAAACATGTTTAAGCTTTTGTTCAACACTAACTTTTCCTTTCTGCTTTTCCCTATCAACAGGCCACAACATCTATTCCAATATATTAGGTTTCCTCGGTGGTGTTTCCTGGGCTATGCTAGTAGCAAGAACTTGCCAGCTTTATCCAAATGCAATAGCGTCAACTCTTGTACATAAATTTTTCTTGGTATTTTCTAAATGGTATGTGTTTAGATTATATTAAAATAAAATTGATTGTAGACACTGAAGTTTAGTCTTATTTTTATGACATTTCTACAGCTGGTCTCAGATTCAAATTTAAGTTCACGATGCAGCAGTGTAGATAGCCTTGGGGTGATCATGTTGTATATAAAGTGACAAGCCTAATTCTCTTCCTTTTGCCAGCTTTCCCAGGGTAGTGAGGCAGGTGCTGTTTGTACTTCCATGAGTAAACCTCCTCTCCAAATAAACTCTGAATTTTAGCTGTAATGTTTGCTAAAATCCAGTGAGTTGATAGGTTGGGATATTAGTTACTTTGGATAAAACTTACCAGCTCTTTTACTCTTTGAATTCTTCTAAATCTGTAGACCTTTAGTTTCTCGTGGTTGGTTGTTTTGCTTTCAGCTGCCCATTCATCTTTGGTAGAATATTAAAGATATAAATGTTTATATAGCTTTTAAGGATAACTATAAGTGCTTGAAAAGCAATTGATTATCCCTTTGAAATTAATTAACAACCCAGGAAAGGATTTTTTTAAAGCTCTTCCTCATTTAAGCTTGGTCACATTTGTCAACCGTTATTTAAGTAAGATAAAAGATTGCTATTTCTTATTAGTTGCTTTGACCCAAAAGGTTAGAGTTCTTGGTTTTTAATCAAATTGATCTGAAAGCTTTGTCTTCCCTATTTGTGTCAACCTTTCTACCTTCTCCCTCTAAAATAGTGTTTTAGTTGTTTTATAAAAATTAAGAGTTATCAGAGACAATTTATAATTAGAGCTTTGCCACACTTTACAGAACACACCCTGTAATTTATGGATTTAATAGCACTTAATTATATATAACCAAAATTGGTGAGAAAAATGTCAGAATTTCTCTTAATGCTGCATGTACATAGCAAGTAATATTTTTAAGAAGCTAATCTTGATACTGTGTGGTGCAGTCCATGGGTTCGGAAAGAGTCAGCACAACTTAGTAAATGAGCAACAGCAACAATCTTGATACTAAAGGTGCCAACTGTTTTCCAGTTTTTAATCTCTTATATAAAGACTGAAGTAGATAACTCACAGGACACGTCTTTAAAACAGTGTGTTCACATCATTACTCATATTCATGTTAATAACCTTTAAGTCATGAGATAGAGATTATAATTATTCATACTTCTTTGCCTATAATGAATCAGCTTTTCATCCTGGGTTGTCTTTGGAGCTAGCATAAAAAGATAGGATTATAGGATTTTTGTCTGTTCATGGGAGATTTTATCCTGTTCAGCTTTGAGATGAACACATCAGATTGTCTTGGGGTAGTACTTTTTAATTTGAATAGTGCTTTATCAGTTCTTTGAGAGGTAGAGAAGATGTTTGACTTCAGTCTTAAGAAAGCTACCAGGTGGTTGGAGTTAATTTCATAGAGAAAAATTAATCCAAATAGTCTTAACCTCAACAGAGGAGTAAAAAGTTATGTATACCAAGAGTGCAAAATGAATGAAGAAGAATCACATTCACAAATGCTGTATGTTTAGCAAAATACGTGTAGATGGTGATATCCAATAGTCTTATCAAGTGCTACAATCTTTTTAAACAGGGAATGGCCAAATCCAGTCCTATTGAAACAGCCTGAAGAATGCAATCTTAATTTGCCTGTGTGGGACCCAAGGGTTAGTGTATTATTTTTTCCCCTACAAATTCGCACTGTGCAATAACGAGTAGAAGCCATCTGCATAAACTGAGGGAGACTTCCCATTCTGTTACGTATGAGTGGACATGTTCGTGTCACACTTTCTTTTTAATCTCAGCTAGAATTGTCCTCTGGTGTGAGAAGCATAATTATGTACCCTGGAACCACATTTAATTGTATGTAGTTTATAATATCAAGGTCACTAACAATTTATATATAGAACTACCTTGTAAGTCAAAGTTGTGTGGGCATTTGTGCTTAAAAAAAAAATAATAAAAAGGATACTAAAAATCCCTGTATTTTTTTTTATTCGATCTAAATATTCTGTTAAAATTGGGTTATTGTAGGAAAACTGTTGCTTAATGTTTAATCATGACCGATAACTTCTAAGCAATATCACTTCAGTTACTATGATGTAATTGTGAAAATTGGTTTGGCGAATTCAGATTACAAAAGCATGGTTGGGCTGAAGAGGAGCCTCCATTCTGCTTTTTTGGAAGTTATGACCTTCACTGCTAACTCAGTTTAAATGTTAACAACATGCACTTTATTAATGGATAAAAGAAATTTAGGTTTGTAAGGCTTTCTAGGTTTATAAAATTCTATTTACACTGTTTTATTTTTTCATTACAATATCAAAAATATTTTCAGTTTTAAGCCTTGTTAATGACATCAAGTTGTGTACTTTCAGGTTTTCCAAACCTCAAGACATTTAATTTGGGAAGGATATGAATTTACAATTTTTTCTGTTAAAAAATGCCACTTTTATCATTAGTTATATGCATTAACAGTTATTAAATTGTTTTGTTATCTTTTAAAATGATACCGACATGGATAATGTAGTTGTACCCTGTGTTAATAAGCTTCTACTGATAAGTTAAGGGTATATTAAAAACTAAGTTTCCAGCTTGTTTAAAATTCATTTTACACAGAACATGTTGTAATGTGACATTTCTCAAAAATGTAATTGTGTGTGCATCCCTATTTCTGTTGTTGACAAAAGAAAAACTGAACATCAGGAGGTGCCAGTTAGAACCTTTATTTTGCTCAACAGGCTCACTGTTTCTAGTAAGGTCACCAAAGTAGCCATGCCCAAATGATTGAAACAACCCATTAGTTAAGACCAAATCACAGTTTCTGTAAAGAATTCCTTAAAAAAAGTTTCTTTACATGGTTTTTCTTTCTCAACTCCAGCTATGAATGAAATAAAATTTAATCATTGGTTCAGTTTAACAAGGGGTAAAAAGTCCAAGTATCTGTTGACTATGTACTTGAAGAAACTGATTGGCTGTTGTTGTATATAGGTAAACCCCAGTGATAGGTACCATCTTATGCCTATAATTACACCAGCATACCCACAACAGAACTCCACGTACAATGTGTCCGTTTCAACACGGATGGTCATGGTTGAGGAGTTTAAACAAGGTAAGTGTTATCCTTATGCTCTCCTTTATACAGGAAGGGTTTACATGCATTGTACACCCAGTAATGGGGTATTCAATGAAATGGAAGAAAGCACTCACCAAAGTGGATTCTGGTGTTACTACTTACAGATTATATTTGAGAATTAACTTGAAAAACTCAGTTTAATTTCTTGTAAGCAGTTTACTCTTGATTATATATCGGACGATTTAAAACTTAAAGCTGTGTCTTTAGCTGGGCCTCTATGGTTTAGTGCCCTTCTATTGCCATGTGAAATTTTAAATAATACCATAGTTTCTCTCCATCGATTGACATGAGAGGCTTTTAGCAGGCTGTATATTTGGAGAAAGCTTTGAGTAGGATTTTGGCCACACTGCCCACTGTTTTGGAATAACTAAACTTCTGAATCTATGAGTATTGCTAATTTGAAGGAGTAGCTATGGTAAATGGTCTTTGAGGGAAGTAGCTTGAACTGGACTATTTAATTTGACAGAAGTCAAGGAAGTAGAATCAGCTATTTGACTACCAACTTCAAACTCAAATTTCTAAAGTTGTTTTTGTAGTCTAAAGGGGCTCTTCATGGGAAGATGTTACTGTACTTTTACAGGAAATTTTTTTAGAAGGGCAGGAAAGTTAATGGAAAACTTTTTTTCCTTGGGTAACTGAAGTGCTTCAGTTTTAGGAGAGAAGCACTCTGTGAGCATGGCATTTTAAAGTAATGGCAATTTTCCAGAAACATGGACCTAAAATTCTCCAGCTTTTTTTTCTTTTGTGTAAAATAGTGTACATATGTAAGAATCTTTATGCTGTAGAGTCATAGACTAAAATTTCTGTGTTAAAATTATGATTTTAGGATTATAATGACTGCATGTTATATACTTAAAAGATCTTTAAAATTCTAGATTTTTAGACTGAAGCATGGAAATATCTTAATATGTTTTTAATTTAGGTCTTGCTATCACAGATGAAATTTTGCTGAGTAAGGCAGAGTGGTCCAAACTTTTTGAAGCTCCAAACTTCTTTCAAAAGTACAAGTATGTATTTTAAGGCATGTCGGATATGTTGCTCTCTTTAAGTATTGGTTTTAATGGTAGCATATGTGACATCTCTTCTTGCTAGACTAATGTAGTTTGAATTTTCCTTTAAACATCTATACAGGTTTTCCTCTTGTCACAAAGGGCATATTGTTTTAGAAAACATTGTTTTTTTGTCAAGGTACAGTGTAGTCCCTATAGTCTTGCTGCCTGATGTAACCAAATTTCTGCATTTGTAGCAACATCAGTTCTGAAGGTTTGCTAGTCATCACCAAAACTCTAAATCTGTATACCTTGGCAAAGGAGTGAACTGTTAAAATCTGTAGCTAATATTCTCTTCTAAGTAATTATTTTCATCCAGTTCTGGAAACTTATTTAATCTTAAGATTCTCTATAACACAGGCAGAACTAATAAAATGTCAATATAGGTAGTCAGCAAAATGTTTTCAGTAGTTACATGATTGGCCTACCATTTCCCCCTACTGTTCATAAAGCCCCTCAAGTATTTCTACAAATATTTTCATGGAATCTCAGTGGGTGTCATATTTTTTACTAATGGTTTTAATATAATGACTTAATACCTCAGTATAGGTTAATAGCCTGATTGTGTTGGTTTTGATGAAAACTGTAAGTTATAATAAATCTTACTTTAAAAAAAAAACGGACTTGCACTTTTATTTGCCCTGAGCTGAAAACTTGCCAAAGTCCCACTTAAAAATTTTTTTTTTCTTTAATGCTTGAAACTTTCCTGACCATTTGATCTTATGTTGGATTGTGTTTTGTAATAATCTAAGCAAGATTGCTTTATGCTATTTCCCCAATTAAAAACAAGAATGATGACCTTCATGATGTCTCTGTGTTTTGTTTCTGTATCTTTTGCATGAAAAAGCAATAATGGAGCCAGCTTAATTGTTGTGTTCTGGGAGCACTGCATTGTTAGTAAAAATTTTAAATAGCATAACATTGAATGTTCTTGTTTACTATTCCCCATAAGTTGTGCTTTTCCATTTGGCAGACAAGTTTGCATCGTTTTTTATTTTAACCACTGTTGAGGAAGTACCTTTGAACATTTAAACTAATAAACATATTTTGATACTTTAAAAACTAGCATGAGAGCACATGATTACTTGTAAAGAGAATAAAGAAACTGATCTTGTAGAAGTGTCAGCATCTCTTAATCCTTGAGAATCCAAGGTGAAGCTAGATAGATTCTTCTTTCTGTCCCGTTTTCTTGTAGGAATGAGAAGTGGGTAGAATGAAGTTCTTCTAAGTACCTACTTAAGTGGTTTCTTTCTCTTTTTTCACTTTAAGAAAGATTAGTGTTGAAGCTGAACAAGTCTTGATATTGTCATTTAAATTTGTATTACTAGTACTTTGAAGGATTTGTGTGTGTGTGTGTGTGTGTGTGTTTTGATGCTTGTTTAATCTTTCTTTAAAAACTTTTAGGTTATCCTTCAAAACCTGTGCCAAATAGTACATGTAAGGTCTTCTGTTGGCTGATTATCTTTACTGAATTCTCTTGAAACAAATTATTTTAGGTTATTAAAAACAACTTGAAACATAGAAATGAGAATGTAGCAACAAATAGAGGAAATTATGTCAGGTAATTTCAGCTGTGAGTCTTGGGACAAATGATTTGAAAACATGACAAGCAGCTGATTTTACCTATACCAAATTCACTTATGTCTTAACTTTTCTCAAAAATTTTTCCTCTTAAAAAATTCGTAATTATTATCATTAGACTTTGAGTATCCCCAGGTTTGAATTTTTCTTTTACTGTATTGTATGAAATACCCCAAAGATTAGCTGTTCAACTGAATTGAAATGCTTAGTTTTTTGGTTAAGCTTATTCAAGTATATCCTGAAAGTGTTATGTTTGTTATGTATAGGATTTTAAGTCATCTGTGGTCTACCTGCCTGCCTTTCTTGGAAGGGAGGAAACCACGAAGGAAATTTCAGTTGTCTTAGAAAGCTTGCCGAAAAGGGATAACATTGCCTTGTGGAATTTTACAGTCTTAAGAAAATACTTTTCATGTTCTACTGTTAAAGATACTCAAGCGGACATAAGTAACCAGCAGTAAAGTAAATCACCGTTGACATAGGAAGTGTGAAGACTTACATCAGATGTTCAGTTTCCTTAGGAAACAAGGAAGGAAAGGTATTAGGGGGAAAAAACTAAATGTTCTCAGGAATAAGACTAATAATTTATCATTTCAAGGAGTCTGTATGTATAGAATAATTTAGCCTCAGAATGTGTTCAAAGCTTTTAAGAACAATGAACTCTAATTCCTTGAACCTGAGTCAACTTAAAGATGGAATTGAAAGGATTTTTGCCAAAGAGAGAAATTAGATTTTTGGTATAATGTCTTGAGTTGTTACCTACCCAGGGAAAATGTTGATGTGATGAAATGGCCAGGAAACCTACCTAAAAAAATGCTTTTTGGGGGATGAATAGTTGTGAGGTAATAAGAGCAACTAAATTAAGCATTTTTAAAGGGGTTTTAATTCATTTGTGGTAGGTTTTTATAGTTAATTTTTTTTTAATTGAAAACTGATAATCTTTAAATTTTGGGAAAAGTTAATCATTATTGCTTTGGCTTCAAAGTCTTGTGAAGCCATTTGAGTACCTGAAGCATAATCATGACATTGTGAAATTTAGAGGATAGTAGTTTTTGAAGCAGCAACAAAATTAAATATAGTCTAAATTTAGACCTATTTTTAGTCTCTGTGCTCTGATAGGAAACTTATTAATGGCAGGTTATTTCTATTAAACATAATTACTGTGTTTTGTATCTCCCACTTCATATTTGCTTAAATGTGGCTGAGTCAAGAACATTTAACTTCAGCTTACATACTTGTTGGTTCTTTAACACTTCCAACTATATTTAAACAGATGCCTTTATTGTAAGCAATGTGCAGAATAGACCCCTCCCCTGCCCCGGCCCATTGGATTTCAGTAAGAGCCAAAGTTTTAGAACCTTAAACTTTGAATTGCCAACAAGATTATGTTCAAGTGAATTTTATATTTTGCCATAAGTAGAGAACACTGTGTGTCATTTAAGCTTTTGTTAAAGGCTCAGATGGTCATTGAGAGCATCTATTTCACTAGTGTGGTGCTAGAGTGATTTGGAGATTTCAAGTTTTGTCCTAATAGGTGAACCCAGACGACTTTTGTCTTGAGTGTTTGTGTGCATGCCTGCTTTTTATACTTTGTCTGCTGTTACAAGTTGTTATACTTTCCTTTTTCTCCATACCCCTGCCTACCAACTCCACGCCCCCCCCCCCCCCCTTATAGTTTGTTGTCCATTTTCAAACTCACAGGAAACTGGAACTCAGGTTACTGAGATTATTAGGGTTTTGTTTGACTTACAAAAGCATTTAGGGCCCTAAGAGAGTTTTCTGTATAGGTAAAATGCATGAGCTTTTAGTGCTTTTATGTGAATTTTGACTTCTATTTGTTTGGGCTATCTGTGTGTGTGCCATATATTTGGTTTGCTCTAAATAATTGCTGTACAAATTAAACTGGTGAAGGAAAGGAAGTATTGGTCTATGGAGTTGGGCTGCATATTTACTTTTTTGTCTACATGTTTTCATATTTGTGTATTACCTCTGTTAAGCTTATACATGAAGTTTATTTAAAATTGTGGTCATACTCTGACTTTTCCAACTAGTATCTGGATTCAGTAATGATGTCAGTTTGCTTTTTGAGGTAACATTTCTGGTGAGAAGTTTGACTTCTGTCACCTCTAAAATGGATTTTGTAGGAAAGTATATTGGATTGAATTTTTTTTTTTAGTCTTAGGAAGTTTAGTTATACTTTAGTTGTAAGTAGTTTGTTTGAAAAACATTTAAAAATAGATACTTGGTCATGATGGTATTTTCTGAAATGAAAACTTGATTTTGTTCTAATTTGAATGGAATTGAATTCCACATAGAAATCACATTACTTTTTTGCTCTCATGTTAATGATGTCCACTTCTTTGTTATAGAAATTCCTAGTGGTGTTTGAAAAAAGTCATGAGGCCTGACTTAAGTATTCAGTTTAATTTTTGCTACCTTTTAATTTGAATTAAAAAGCATAATGTATTGGATACTATTTTTGAAATTACTGATGTAATGTGTGTATATTTAGTGATCCTTCTTTTGTGGCTAAAGCCTTGGTGCTTTATTTCCATCGAAGCAATTTTGCTTTAATGGGTTATATTTTAGTGAGGTGGCTCTTTAAAGATAAAGCACTCCACTAGAATCCTTGAACCAAATTATCAGTGATGTTTAGTCAACGTTTTTGAATTAAGCTGCTGTGGGGGTAATTTTACAGAAGAATTTAACGTGCCCAGTAGTCACTAAACTTACGGAATTTAGTGTTTATGATTTTATGTGCAAGCTGAAATTGCAGTTCTCTCTTGCTAAATTGATCTATAACTGTCATCAAGCTTATTACATTATGGTGTTAATATCCAGCTCAAAGCACTTAAATGAAATAAATAGCATGTTGTCTTTATCTTCAAAGGCATTATATTGTACTTCTAGCAAGTGCACCAACTGAAAAACAACGCCTAGAATGGTGAGTATAAGATTAGACTTTACAAAACAAAAAACAATACTTCAAAACGAATCAGATAGCCCCAGAACACAGTAGGAGACGGAAGTCCTTAAAACATCAAGTTTGATTTTGTTCATAAATGCAGCTTTACTACTTAAATGGAAGTTTTAATGGAAGTATAGAAATTTGGAGATCCATATACAACTTTTTTTTGTTTGTGTTATAGAGATCCATGTATTATTTCTTTACTGTATTTAAAGTGTTTTCTTTTAGTTTACTGATTTTTTTGTCTGTAAATATTTCTGGGGATGTCTTTTGTAATCTTCCTAGTTTGAAATGTGACTTGATTTGCTTCTCCCTGTGGTTTTTAATTCATCATTTTTGAGCTAGAGCATAAGGTTTTAGTTTTATCTATGGGAATTGAGACAATTGAACTGCCCTCGTGTATTTTAAGTATCTTCATATTATAGCTTTATACAAACTTACTTGATTTTGTGCATTCTGTTTTATTTTTTAATTAAAAAATAATTTTCATTAATAATGAGTGACATTTGTTCAGGGTGGGCTTGGTGGAATCAAAAATCCGAATCCTGGTTGGAAGTTTGGAGAAGAATGAGTTTATTACACTGGCTCATGTGAATCCCCAGTCATTTCCAGCACCCAAAGAAAATCCCGACAAGTAAGCAATCCTCTAAAATCTGGATTCTCCATCCTCTTTTCAGCTTTTGCTCATGGAAGTTTTATAGGCAATTTTTAATAACTCGAGTCACTATTCTTTTGATTACGTCAGGGTCAGACCAATTTGAGATCTGTGGTTTAGGGTTTGCTGATCAGAAGCACTGAAGAGAAAGACTTTTTTTGGAGAAAAATCACCCCTGAAATAAGTTGTAATGATGAAATGCCTATTAACTAATATGAGTTCCAATTCTTCACTTTAGCAATATACCTTCTCCCCTTTTTGCAGAGTGGTTTTTAGAATAGCTGCTATATCAAACATCAGTCTTTGCTTTTTTAATTTTTTTTACAAGGAGAAAATGATTTGACCTTGCAAAAATTTGGTTTGTCGTGGATTCTGGGACATTAAAAACAAAGTTACTAAAAGCTGCCTCACTTTATTTTAAGGATCTTTTATAGGTCAATTTTCAATTTGATTGTTGCTGTTTTATTAAGTATATGAAATTCTGCTTTGCCTATGACCACTTTATTTGGTGGGCGAGGGGAGTTTTAATAGTGAGCTTTTTTTTTTTTCAAGATGCAGTATTAAAGACTGAAAAATACTGGTAAATAGATCACTTAAGTTGGTGGTGTGATAGAGTAGCTGTTACTGTTTTTACAGATTAATTTCTTTTGCATTCATGTAAGAGTTGCCATTTGAGTTTTCTATAAATTTTTTTTGTTGCTACAATCTTAATCATTAAGACTGATTTATTCAATAGATGGATCATTAAATGTTCAAAAGGAGCTGAATCACCCATTATTCTTGTTATGCTGTGGCCAGTCTTCATGCTACCTTTTCAGTTGAGTTTTAAAAGTTTAAGGAATATATATTAAGGTCTAGTTAAATTTTTATATCTGACTAGTTTTGTTTCAGATTTTTCTAAAATGTCATTAATTTACATAACTTTCTTTGAAGTGCCTTTGGTACTTTTGATCATTAAAAACACTGGATATTAATACATAGATAATGAAGAGGATATTTGTCGTAGGACTCCAGTTTTTTATAAAGCAGTAGAAATACAGAGGACAGATGTAGAGGAGGAATTTGAGTTTTGATGGAATTTGGTTTATAACTTGCTTGTGTATTTGTATTCTGAGTTTTTCCATGTACATCAGGTTGTGAAGCGCATTTATAACTGTTTTCAGGAAATCCTGATAAATTATTTTAATACTTTTTATTTTACAGGGAAGAATTTCGCACGATGTGGGTGATTGGGTTAGTGTTTAAAAAAACAGAAAATTCTGAAAATCTCAGTGTTGATCTCACCTATGATATTCAGTCTTTCACAGATACAGGTATATTTCTCCTTGGATAATCAAAACATGTATTTGCATATTTAAATTGTCTTCAATGTATACCATAGTAGAATATGTAATAACTTAAAGTTACTGGGGAATATTTTACAGTGAACGTCAAAATAACCTTAGTATTTCTGGATTAGGTATTAGTTTCAGTAATGTCTAACATTAAAAATTTTTTTTCTTTGGTGGTAGACCTAAAATTAAACAGTTGAACCACTTTAAGTTGCCTGTGATTACTTTATGAAACTAGAAATAGCCTGGCTATTTGATTCTCTTAAAAGACTGAGTCTGTGTCTGATTGCCTTAATAGTCTTGAACATTAGAAAATTTTGAAGCTACACTTTGGTGAAATGAGGTTATTTATCCTCACTGTCAGTGACAGACTCAAGTCTTAATTCAGGAATGTGCTTAGTCGCTCAGTTGTGTCCAAGTCTGCGACCCCATGGACTGTAGCCCCCCAGGCTCATCTGCCCATGAGGATTCTCCAGGCAAGAATACTGGAGTGGACTGCCATTTCCTTTTCCAATTCATGAATAGGGAATACAGTATGAGTTACATTTTGGATTGGCCTGAGATAGAAGGTAGTATGGTTTAACTAAAACCTTACTGCTAGCAGTAGTTGGCAGAAGCTAAGGCTCTATAGAAGTAACAAATCATGTAGAGATACTTGGACTAGAAAATTTGTCTTGAGCATTATACCTCGTTGAACTGCTTATCATGGTTTGTACTCATGAGCCATCAAGATTTTATAGCATATTAAAGATATTTGGAGAAAGAAATATTTAGTTGTCCTGTATCTTGAAACTTTTTTTTTTAATCTTGAAACATTTTAATGGAATACTTTGTGGGATTTTCTAACAGAACAAATGTAACATGTTAAAAACTCCAATTCTTGTCCCTCTCCTTTAGCATTAAATCTTTTTAATCTCAGGTGAGAACTGAGATCTGGCAGCTGTGAACTTAGAGTTGCTCAAGTTAGAAATCTTGCAGTCTTTGAATCCTATTTTCCCCAAACTTGGTATTAATCTATTTAAAAAAAAAATTTGTCCCTGTTTTCAGAGTACATTGAGATTCTTGCTACTGTTTGCGGTATCTACTGCTTTTACCCTAGTCCAAGCCTTTTATCACTGGTCTTTTGGATTACTGCCATTCTTGTAATTTTCTTACTCTGCCCTTCAGCTGTTCTCAGTCAGCATCCAGAATGATACTAAGCTAAATCATGTCTCACCTGCTAAAAGAATACCCATACTCTGAATCAGTCCGTATCCTTACTGTGGTTTGCAAGCCTTTATTGACCTAGTCTTCTCATTATGACTCTGACCTCATTTCTTTGTAATTGTGTACATATATATATATAATTTCTTTATATCTGTATATAGAACTTGTAATAAGTTCAGAATCCTTTATCCTTGTGTCTTGAAGTCAGGAAAGTAATAAACATAATATTTCCAGTGGGGAGCAACATTCTATAGTCTAAGACAGTAATATTTCTATACAATATTTACATACAGTATAGCCACAAATAGTTCAGATCAGAATTTGTCATTGGGGATTTTAGGGTTACAGATAAGGCATTATGGATCTTCTACTTTCCCTTCTCCCCATGGCCTTTTTGTCATTCCTCAAACATCCCAGGCATGCTCAGGACCTTTTGTTCGTGGTGTTTGCTCTTCCTAGAAAGGATCCCACAAGGTACACTGAGCTTATTTACCAACTTTCATGCGAGTCTCCACTCACTTGTAATCTGTTTCCATGCTGAGCTTCCTGTCTTCTTCCCCTATTCAGTTTTTTCCTCCATAGCACTTATCACCCATCTGATATGAAATATACATTATGTTTTTTTCTCTTTGTTTCTCCACTAGAATGTGAAGTTTGAGGTTCTTTTGGTCTCTTATTTCCTGCTATATTCCCCATGTCAAGAACATGTGATATTTTCCATTTGGGGACCTTCTGACGTTTGTTTTATTGCAGTTGTTACATACTTGGTCTAGAATTTTAAATTACATTGCTAGCATAAATAAATATGAATTTAAGAAACCCCTTTTCTCCAATTCTGTCACTCCTCAAGGAGTTAACTCTCTTATTACTCTGAGTTATTACACTGCAAGAATTAATATATTCTGTTTTTATTATGTATACCTTGTGGTAAAAGACATTTATTAGAGTTTGCACTCAGGCAGTGAATTAAGTCAGATCAAAGATGACATTTTGATCAGATAATTTTATTGATAGGCAATATATTGATGAAGAATGGGTTCCTACTTTAGCTTCTCCTGAATGAGTTTAACTGCCTTTTTTAGCATGTTGTTTTTGCTCGTAACAATTTCCTAATTTGTATAGTTTATAGGCAAGCAATAAACAGCAAGATGTTTGAGGTGGACATGAAAATTGCTGCAATGCATGTAAAAAGAAAGCAACTCCATCAGCTACTACCTAGTCATGTGCTTCAGAAAAAGAAAAAGGTAACTTTAGATGGTACTTAAAAGGCATTACTAATCCATGTTTTATGTATCCAGCCTATCAGTGTTTCAGAATTTAGGCTCAGTTGATGAGTTGTGTTTGAAATAGATCACAGCACTTTGAAAATCTTTTATATGGGGAAATTCCGTTACATGAAACTTTGCTCCTAATCAGTTTCTTGCACACACTTCCTTCAGACTTCAGATTAGTTGAAGTGCTTCACAGCATTATTTTATATATATATTTGCGTTCTCTTTTCAGAAATCTCTTCTTATCAGTTTAACATCACATATTAGTATGTACTTTCCTTTGAAAAGTAAAGAAAGTTAAATTACATAATATGTAGTTCAAGTGAATTACATGACTTTTTAAAAGAAAATGATTTTATTTTCATAAGAATTACACATGTATATTATTTAAAAATTAGAAGTTATTGGGTATAAGATGACTGGCAATGGTAACCAGATCTAATGTTTTGTAGTATGTTCTTCTGTTGTTGATATTTAATGTTGGATAATTTTTGTTAGCCATGTTTTTCTGATTTGGACTTCCTATAGTGTACTTATTAAAATTTTAGTGCAGAATAACAATTACATTTTTACTTTAAGTGGTTTCCAAAGTGTCTTATTCTTAAAATGAAATACAGCAGTGAAAATACATGAGCTTGAGATACATATGTTGGGTTAAAAGTACAGATGATACTTTTAAGTATCAAATGATATTCATATTCATACATATACACATAGGTTTGCAATGTATTTTTTAAGATAGAATATGAAATAAAAGTATGTGTTAGAGGATAAAGACTGTTGCGTTCTGAATGATGGTTTATTGTCTGGGCCTGGGATTGGGAAGAAAGGAATGAAGTTAACACACAGTTCAAGTTCAGGTTCCACTGCCATCTAGCTGTGAGACTTGGGCAAGTTGTATTATAAATATCATGTTCTTGATTTGCCTTAAAATCATGGTAATTTTACCTACCTTATTATGCATTTTGTGAGGATAAAATGTACCTATACCTGTAAAACTAGTGCCTGGCACATACTGAAAGCTCAGATTTGTTTCTATTATCACCACCATCATCATCATTCATAACATAGAGGTACTATTTTCTTAGGTGTAAAATGCATAAACGTATATTTCATTTTTAAAAATAACATTACATTAAAGCCTTTATACACACTTATTTGTTACTCACTTCTCATGAATTATCAAATTAATCTAGAAAGTGACAAAATGTATTTCCTATTATTGAGCTTATTATTTTTTGTCATAAAGTTAACATAAAATTTATCATTAAATTATTTTATTTTTAAAATAAAAGTTTGTCTTCTGATTGTACCTTAGTGTTATATTGTTAATGGGTTTAAGCAACTGTACTTATGTGTGTTTACTGCATACAAAAATATATAAACATTTTATGTGTTTTTAGAAGTGAATGTGCATAATTAGATTATGTTCTTCCATGCTTAGCCATTTTAGTGAAATAGAAATATTTATAAAGGAATTAAATTAGGTTTTCCTGAACCTTTAATTCAGATTAAAACTGAATTAAAACCTTTAATTCAGATTAAAGACTTGCAAAACTCCTGTTTACATGTCAGTGTTATATTTGGAACAACTAGATTGTAATTAAAGTAAATTAATTTTTTATTCTATTACTTAAGGTAATATCTAGATAAAGTCTTCTAGATTATAAAATGTATCATTAGTGATCAGAAATTTATGTAGTCCAAAAATTGTATCAAATAGAGTTTAACCATAATCTCACTGCCAATTTCACCTTTCTCAACATTTTAGTGTATATCTATACAGACTCTTAGTGCATGTATGTAACCACAGATAATGTGTATTTTTTTAAGAGGTTTTTAATGATACCTACTCTTTGTGACCTGCTTTTTGGGGGTACTTTCAATTTTTTGACCATTTATCCAGATTATATTACAATTACTAAGTGTCTGGTTGGTATTGCTTTGTATGGTGATAGTATGATTAAATCTCATCTTCCCCATTTGGTCAGTATTGATTTATGTACACAAGTGGTATCTCTGAGGCATTCACTCAAAGATTAGGTTATCTTGTCATTTGGGAATTGGAGTGGGTGTACATGCGTTGTACACACACACACAGGCACGCACATACATATGGGGTATGGGTTTTTATTTTTAATAATGCAAATTACTTCCATTAAAATGTTTCTGTAGGTGAGTGAACACAAACTAAAAGTGTTCTGAAAAAGATGAAGAAATCATTTTGATGTTGTAATAGTGCTGATTGCAGAAATAGAAATTCTTTTATCGAATAGCACTATTCATAGTTTTTTAGCTTTTGCTTTTCCTGCAATGAGTAACTGTTTTTGAGTGCTTCAAGAGTCAGGACCAACATTTGGATTTACGTGTGGTCATTAAGTTTTTAGGAAATTATTTTTGGTTTTATTTTAACAGGATAATTTATACTATTAAATTAAAATAGTATTAATCATAATCACGTTAAAATCATAAGCTGCAGATAGAGCTCTGGCAGTCTCTTGCTTTTCAGAGAGGCTCGTACAAATAACTAGGAATAGGCACTGAGTTGTACTACTTGATGATTTTTTTAAAAATTAATACATTTTTTATCTTTGTTGTAGAACAGTTTGAACTCTATAAACAAAAAATGACTTCTGATCCCACCAGCCAGAGATGCTCATTGTTGCTCTCGTCTTTTACTGTTAACGTGTGTGTGTTTATAGTCCTCTGACTTAAGTCACATGTGTTTTCATGTTAAAGTGCTTTTTACTTTGAGGTGTGTCCTGCATTCAGTGTGTATGTTTAATATATCATTTTTCTCCCCCCGAGGAACTATAGTTAAATCGAGGACCCCAAGAAGTCAGAAAGTATGTGTCCCAAATCTGCCTTTTGTATTTTGGCATGACACTTCTGGTTATCATAACCTTATTGATTTGTGCTTTTCAGTAGAAGTCACTTATCTGTTAAGTAAAAGATGTTTGTGTTTCAGAGATCTGGATAACATAAAGGTATAATTAATTAAATACTGATTGATTGCAGCATTCAACAGAAGGCGTCAAGTTGACACCTCTGAATGACAGCAGCCTCGACTTGTCTATGGACAGTGATAACAGCATGTCTGTGCCTTCACCTACTAGTGCTATGAAGACCAGTCCATTGAACAGTTCTGGCAGCTCTCAGGGGTAAGGAAAAGGGAAAGGAAGTGTAGTGGCTATTGGAATAACCAGTTTCTTAAGTTGAAATACCTATTGCCTATGGTGAACTACATGGTGTGCTAAGGGGAACAAGAAAGAGGGACGCAACCACATTTCTGTCCCGGAGATGCTTATCACCTATGTAGCCGGGGGTAAATATCTGAAAATACTGGAGATCTAGAGAAGATTTATGTGGGCTTTTTTTAGTGGAAATTTCTTTTGAAGAATTGTCTCTTTAAGAGCATTTAGAGCAGCTTCCCTGATAGCTCAGTTGGTAAAGAATCCACCTGCAATGCAGGAGACCCCGGTTCGATTCCTGGGTCAGGAAGATCCGCTGGAGAAGGGATAGGCTACCCACTCCAGTCTTCGTGGGCTTCCCTCCTGGCTCAGCTGGTAAAGAATCCGCCTGCAATGCGGGAGACCTGGGTTCGATTCCTGGGTTGGGAAGATCCCCTGGAGAAGGGAACGGCTGCCCACTCCAGTGTTCTGGCCTGGATAATTCTGTGGGTCTCAAAGAGTCAGACACGACTGAGCAACTTTCACAAAGCCCCTGAACCTTTTTATCTTGAAGAAAAAACATGGCTGTGGTGGCAAAAATTAGAACGAAAAAGCCATATTTATGTTTAACTTCTATGAATCTTCATAATGTATCATTGCAGATTTTTTTTCTAATGGTTATACTACTGTATTTTCAAAGGGGGCTGTTTATTATAGATTTTGGGTGCACTGCTGGTATTTTAAATTGTGATGGTTACATTGTGATGGTTACATTGATCACTTTGTTTAGTGAGTTGATACTTAAACCAGGAACACTTTTCTGAATGCATGTTATATATATATTTTTTTTTTGAAAAGAGCCATTTTAAAAATTGAATTGTTAAGGTATATTGTTAAATAATAGCCAGTGGCAAAGATGCAGGTTGGGATGGATCTTTGGATTAGCATGAAATAGAAAATGCCAAGGTGCAATGGATGATGGGGATTTAGTTTTCTTCTCTTTGGCTTTGAATGTGTGATGTGTTTTTAGGCTAGTCATACATAATCTGAAGTCTTTGGGCATCAACCTGGTCCTTAAATCTTGTAGTTTTAAAGCAATTCTGCATTTGTACAGCATTAACTTCCAGATTTGTATTTTTAATGGTTTCATCTGGTTTTTTTTGTTTTTTTTTTGAGTGAAGAAGCAAAAATTTTAACAAATTTTGGAAGTTGTATAAAAACCTTTGTGTACTTTGAGTCTTTTCACTTGTATGTAAAATATATCTTTGCTCAGCTCTTTATTATGTACTGGCCTTTGCTATTTTATTTCAGGTTTTCTCTTGCATCTGTGGTGGTTCTCTTTTTTGTCTTTCCTGTTTAATCATTAGATGCTTGTGCCTTTTCAGTGCTCTCTTTTAGTCTTTTATGCCTTCTCTGTATTCACATTGAGGGTGTGGCATCACCCACTCCCTGACCTCATGTCCTCCCATGTGCCAGTGAGCTCAGAACTTTAACAAGCTGACTGCTCTTGCTGCTTGTGCATGTCTTCTAAGCATCAAAAATCCACGTCTCTAGTTTTGCCCACCTTGACATGGCGTTCAGCAGTTGGAGAGTGAAGTTATAGTGGAAGGAGAGTGAATAACCACAGGAGATATAGGATTTATTTGACAGAAAAGTTAGAGATAGAAGGAGGGGTGATTTGAGTTTCCCGAGACAAAGGGTGAGTAGGATCCAGAACACTGAGGAGAGGTTGGGTTTTGAGATCATTTGTTGTTTATCTGGGCCACTGGATGGCCTTTTAGGATTTCATGAACCCTTAGGTTTGCATGTCGAATCTTATTTCTCAGACCATTTTCTTCTTTTACAGCTTTTGATAGTATTTTCTTATACCCCAAATCATTTAATCATTTAGTGAGTTATCCTAAATCAAACAAGACCAGATCATTTTTTTAGCTCTTCTGATATGGTAGTCATTGACTCTATGTGCCAGTTTAATTAATGTTAAATGAAATCAGACATTGTTTCCCATTAGCTGTATTTCAAGTGCAGAGTAGCTACCTGTGTATAGTGGTTACCATGCTGGTTAGTGTAGATATAGATCATAGTTGCAAAAATGCTGTCGAGCAGCACTGCTTTAAAATGTTTCTGTGCTTTTAATTGTTGATTATATTTTGTCAAAGTTAGTTACTGATGTATACATATATATGAGAAATAAAACTAAAGAATCAATCATTTGCTTTAGAAAATAACTTCACATATTAGATTTTGTTACTGAGTTTTATTTATCTCTATTTTCTTTTTTTCACTTTTTAATTTTTGCTCCCCATTTTTAGCAGAAACAGTCCTGCTCCAGCTGTAACAGCAGCATCTGTGACCAACATACAGGCTACTGAAGTTTCTGTGCCACAAGTAAATTCCAGTGAAAGCTCAGGGGGTAAGGAGATTGCCAGATACGGAAATACTTACATTGTATTTGGTTTTAGCCTTCGTTTTGAAAAATGGCTTTGTTTGTTAAATAGTTTGAATTTAGTTTTTTATTACTATTTTATTTCCCTGTAGACTTAAAATAAAAGACTTGTAACTTTGTGTTCTGTGATTTAGCTTTTATGTATTTATATACTTACTACTTAGGTACATCGAGTGAAAGCATTCCTCAAACTGCCACACAACCAGCCATTTCATCACCACCAAAGCCTACGGTCTCCAGAGTTGTTTCCTCAACACGTCTGGTAAACCCACCACCGAGACCTTCAGGAAATGCAGCAGCAAAGATAGCTAATCCTTTAGTAGGAGTCAAGAGGACATCCTCACCTCATAAAGACGAGAGCCCCAAGAAAACCAAAACAGAAGAGGTATCTATCTATTAGTCAGTCTTGAGAATAAGCACCTTGCCAGTTTTAAAATCCAGTGGAAGAAACCCTTGTGGGCCCAAATTTAGAAGCAGCAAGGAGGAAAGCTTTTAGATTGTTTTTGATAGTGCTTCAGTGCCATAGTTTGCTCTTTACCCTTTCCCACTCTTTTTAGTAACTAACTCTTCCATAAAGCTGTGTTTCTTGTTAAAATTTCTGTATCATGTTTAGGCTATAACACAGTTTAGAATGGGTATACGTGTCATCTTAACGTATTGTTCTCTCAGAACTGTATTTTTCACATGTACCAATTCTTCAGTAGCCCTTTGGACACAGTTTTCTGCTTCTGTATTCCAGGTGGAGTTTTGGAGCTTCTCCACTGTACTTGGTATCAAAGGGTCACTAAGAGGTTCTCAGGAAATTCTTACTGAATGCCTGGCCATAAGTTGCCACATCAGATTAGTTTTGGTACCTTGAATGATTGTGATTATAACCTCCAGCCCTTCAGGAAATTTTGTAGTAGTACTTCCACTTTTCATAGTGGCTGGTTTACCTTGTCAAAGTCTCAGATAGTTTTAGGAAAACTGTTAAAAGTGTACATTGATTTTGGTGTTTATCTTAAAATAGAAGTAGCCTTGTAACACAACTTTCATTGTTCCCTGGAATCACTCTTCCTGTGTTTTTCTGTTAATGAATCATTCACCATTGTCCCAGAGATGACAGCCCAAGATAACAATTTTGTTAAGATTTTTGGCTGATAGCTTGTTATTTAGGAACTTCCTTGTTACATGAAAGTTTCTTTAGAATGGTGGCAAGAAAGGAGGGCTCTTATGTAGTGATTTGATTTTTAATGGTAAAAGATTATTGTCTCCAAAAGTGTTATTCCAAGCTTAATCTGAATCCTTTTGGTTTAGATTTTTTTGGAAACAGTCACTGTTCACTAAATATGAATAATTTAATGAATTTTGTCACTCTGACAGTGCTAAATGAGAATGAAAAATGGGTATAGTATGTCATGTTTTGTACCGTGTATTCTAAAACACATCTGTCTCTGTAATTATCTCAAGGCAAGTTGATTTTCAACCTCAGTTTTTCAGATTTTGTTGTTTTGATTTTGCTTTTTAAAATACAGATTTTAGGGCTTCCTCCAAATATACTGAATCAGACGCTCCAGGAATTAGACCTACTAATGTTTTTATTAAAGACTCCAGTTCTCCATGATACTGTTGGGCAGCAACTTAAGAATGTAGTTTTAATGTAATACCACTTTCTGTCTATTGATGCTTGTTTTGAGTTGTCAGAGCATTTCACAATTCATGTTTCTTTTTGCCTGTAAGGTATATGTAAGCATAACTCTAGATACCTATCATTCTGTTGCTTCATGTTAATCGCCTGATTCCTTTCCCTGTGAGAGTTTCAAAATATGTATCAGCACAATTCTTAAAATTTCATTTGTGCTTACCTTGGTAGAAAACACTCTTGTTTCCTGTCTAGCTTAGAGAGGCAGTAGGAATATAGAATTTTTAAAATTCATATGGAAAAATTTAAATATACACAAGAGATCATTTAATTTTTAAGTAAACTTCAGATACATACAAGAGCACCCATCATGCAGTTTCAGGTGTGGTGAGCTCAGCCCGTCCCTGTGCCCTTCATTCTGTTTCTTTCCGTTTCCGCTGTGCTTGGATTCTTCAGATGCAAAAGTCAGACTTCAGTCATATTACTTCATTAGTGTTTTTAAAATCATGTATCTAAAAGGTAGTAATTACAGGGAAGAAAGTATAAGGGAAAAAAGCCCACCTAAAAAAAATGAGCGATCAGGTATCTAGTGAGTACTCAAATGCCCATGATTGTGTCATTGATTTTTTTTAGTAGTTTTTATTTATTCAACTCTGTAAGTAAGATCCTTGATTGATTTTTCTTAAGTGTCTTTAAAAATACAGGTTCATCGCTGCCCTCTCCCCCTTAAAATTTTTTGTTCTATGTATTTTCTCACAGTTTGCATCTTACTCAGGACAACTTTGTGGAGTTGACTAACAGAAGTAGAATTTTAAGATATGGAATGGATCTTAGAATTTTAGGTTTTCTCATAGACTATTCCTTTCCCAGAAGAGGAACTTGAGGTTCAATAACTTTCCCATTTATAAAACTAATGAAAGTCAGAGTCAGGATTAGAACTCAGGCCTACACGCTGTGGTGCTAAAGGTGAAAAAGTCTGTTACAAATGTTTTGATTTTGAAGGTCTCCTACTAGGTGTTTCATTACTTTGTTAATGAGCGCTTAGTATTAGAAGTTTGAGTAAGCCAGAAAGAAGCACTGGCCTGCTCAATAGTATACTAACACGTGTACAGATATTTTAGGTATTGTCAGGCAGTTTAGTTTTGCTTTTTGCTTGATTTTTATCGTATACTAAATCTTTTTGATAAAAATGTAAAATCAATATAGAAAAAGTTCGGCTTATTACCTGAATTCTATGGCTAAATGCTGCTCTATATGTGTGTATATATGTGTGTATATATGTATATATATAATTTTTAAGTTATGGAAAATTTCAAACATATACGGAATTGTAATGAACAAGTTATGTTTGCATCACTTAAGCTTTAACAGTAAACACCTCAGGGCCAGTCTTGTTTCATCTACAAATCGACTCTCTTTGCCATTGTTATGAAGCAAATCCCAAGCGTGTCATTTCAATCATAACTATTTGTGTGTGATTTTATATATATATAGGTAAATATACTGATAACGTGTGTGTGCATGTATGTATACATACATATGTATACACCTATCATTATATTTACTGATAGTAATAATAATTCTGTAGTGTCACAGAGCCAGTCAGTATTGAAATTTGCTCAGTTGTGACTTAAGTTACTATTTTTTAAGTTTGTATGTTTGCAGGTTACAAATAAAAGTCCTTCAGGGAATTGGTCGATACTGATGTTAAATCTTTTCTACTCTGTAAGTTAGCTGTGTTTTTTATGTCTTGTTTTAAAGCCACATTTACAAATAAATTTTAGTTCTGCCCAGTAAGGAGAGTAGAGAAGTTAGTGTCAAAATGTTTTTCTTAAGAAAGTGATGTTTATTCCAAGTCACTCACTACAGGAATGAGAAAGTACAGCAATTTTTGGTTTCTCATTTCTCCTCTTTACCAAAAATAACTTGTTTTAAATAGAATTATAATAAATTTGGGAGAAAAAAAAAGACCTGAGGAGAACATTTTTCAGGCCTTCTCCAGGATGTTAAACACTAAGCAAAGGGGATTGTGTGGTTAAATTAAGTTTGGGAAAGTTAAAGAGACAGTCTTTCTAGAGCTTCTCAGAACCTTTTATGTATTAATATATATGAATCTCCCAAAAAGGAGGGGATAGTATTCCAAGTTCCTGTGTTTGATCAGTGAGCTCTTTTTTTCTCTTCCTTACAAAAAAAGTATTTGATGAAGTTCATAGTTTGGGGAATATACTTCTGTCGATGACTGATTAACAATGACAGTGTTCCTCATGTTCTTTTTAAAGCCAAATTTGTTAACGAAAAAAAAATTTAAGCAAACCAGTTTTCTGTTTTAAGGACATACTTGATCTTATAGATTAATTATTTTATACTGTAAAATTTTTTATAAATCATTGGCAAAAAAAAATCTAAATTTTCATTTTAGAGAATAAAGCTTTTTTTCTTAAAAACAGGATGAAACAAGTGAAGATGCTAACTGTCTTGCTTTGAGTGGACATGATAAAACAGAAACAAAGGTATACTAATTTAGCCTCAGAATTCATACACAATTAAGAGTATAGAAGATGTGATAGAAATGTCTTCAGAATACTGTATTTTGTTCTATAGGCTTTAGGTTTTCAGTATTGTTTCTAGAGATGTGTTTGTTCCTTTTTAATACTCATTTACGGCATCAAAATTGAATTCTTCAAGTGTATGAAGTCCTCCTAGATGTGGGGTTTTCTGGTGGGCACTGAATGGAATAGAATAGTGAGATGTTCCTGCCTGTAATGGAACTTATATTTAAGTAGAGAAGATAAGTGGTAGATGTGGTTGATTACATTAAAAGAAAATGAAAGCAGTTGATGGTGATGAGAGGCAAGACTGCAGAAATAATAAAGACATCACAGAAAGGAGAACATAGTATTTGGAGTGATCCTTGAAGGATTCATAGGGCTTGGGGTAGTATAAGATGAGAAGGTCATCTCACTCTTGATGTGAGAGTGTGGTATATTTAGAGAGCCAGTTTTTGGCACACGGCTCTGGCTAGAACCTGGTGTGAAGGGGGCTTGAATCAAGGTAGATGGGATGGGAAAGATTGGTGTAGCCAAGTATTAGATTTTAAATATTATTTTTTTCAGAAATTGAAGTGTACTGGAAGCTTTTAAATTTTTTCTCCTTGTAGAAAAATTGCTAATCTTCCTCCTTTCTCCCAAATATCCAGATCGATATGTTAGCAAATATTTTTTGGTGTCTGTAGGTTTTGTTTGTACCTATACATACCAATGCCTTCTGCTTTCAAATCTTTACTCTATAAAGCAAGAAAAATAGTTAGGCCATTGCATCATCTGCAAATATTACAGGTGCATTGGATGCTATTTTAAGGCTGTTAAACCCTATTTTATTCACCTAGTTGCCTATTGTTAGCAATTATTTCTGTTAAAAAAGGGAAATTGCCCTTTCCTACAGTGTTGACTGTAGCTAAATATCTACCATCCATTTATGTTTATTTTATTAGTATAAATTAATGAAAGAGGAATTACTGGGACAAATAGATGTTTTTAAAAGTTAACATGTATTGCTAAGGTATGCTTCAGAGACTGCACTCCTCCATTTCTACTGCAGTGTTTACCGTTTTCAGTGTCACAGGAGAAATTTGGTATTTTGTAGTTTTATTATTGTATATATTTTATAAAAATTCACATTTTTGTATGTTTATTTTCATTTACGTGTGCATATCTCTGTTATTTTTTGTGCACTGCTTTGAAAAAGGCTAGGGCAGTGGAATGACACAGTTCACCCTGTATTTTCTGATGATTTTCAGAGTAGAATCAGTGCATTGGTTATTGAGAAGGGGAAGAGAAACCAAAAGGAAGAAGGAATGTTTTAGAGACATTTTCTTCTTTTAATTAAAGGCCTTAGAACAGTTTTTGTGCTTCTGGGTAATTTCATTTAATAATACTGAATTGGTTTTATTTTTTTCACATAGCTAAAGCTGAGCTTGGGTTTATATTCTGTTAATTATCGTCTGGGCAACATTTCATAATATGCATATATGTGTCTTTAATTAGTGCTTGTTTAAAATATCCAAGTTGAAGTTGGTTGGAAAGTCATGAGATATTTTGAGCATGCCTTATAAAGTTTAAGTAGGCAAATAGAAATTCATGTGTATCTGAAATGGTTAAATAACCTATAAGGTTTGTTTTTTTCTTTTGATGATTAACCATTTGATGTGATAGATGGTTTTGTAATGTAGTCACATCTTTCTCTTGATCCCTCCTGTCTTCCAATTTGTCTTTTTTTATTAACCACCAAACCCAGTTATGTTCTTTTATCATTTTTTTAAGTCTCTTTCCTCCCCCGTCCTCTTTGTCTCACAGGAACAACTTGATACAGAGACAAGTACAACTCAATCAGAAACCATTCAGACAGCGACTTCTCTGTTGGCCTCTCAGGTACTAAGTGCAAAAAGCAAGGGGAACTTTATAAATGTTGTTAAGATTAGTGTCGTATAATGAATTAAAGTGAGCACATCAGAAGTTTATTGAAATTATCTTTTTGAAAGTAAGTGCTCACCTACAAATATATTTCTAGTATTCAGAGATAGAGCACTGGTTGTGATCAAACCATTCTTTTGCACAGTCAGGATGCTAACTCATCCCCTTTTTATATTATTTGACACTGCAGATCATTTAAATCCTCACTGCACAATATGCAGTCTTCACCTGGAGGTTTTAAGTCAGAGAGTGAACTTTAAATTAGAACTTAAAATCCTTCTTCATGGATTGCTTGAAAAATGTTTTATTTTCAAGATCTGTTTCTGCTTCACTTTTCACCTTTGCTTTTCAGTTCTTTATTTAGTGTAATCCATAGTTCTTTAAAGCTGTTTTTTCATTTGTCTTAGAAATTCTACTGTGACAGTCCCTTGCGTACAGTAGACACGTGGACTCTTTTCATTGATTTGTGAACCTTCATTTTGTTTGTGAAATAATTGTTTTCTTCTCAAATCCTTTCAAATTGAATATACTTCAAAGTCTAGGTCAGACTCTGACACAAAGTAAATACTTCCTTTAAGTAGACATTAAACTGGTTAACCTCCACAAAGCTACTGCCCAGTGATGCTGCAGGATTGATGAGACAGTGACACTGTGCTGCTTTGTGGCTCAGAGTTACTTTAATGTGGTGATTTTAAGATGAGTTTTTGCTGGCTGTTAACCTTCATGGTTCCTCTTGATATAAATGCTATGATTACTTTCTGAAATGTTTTATTTTCATAACCTTTAGCTAATAAAAATTTTGGGGGGTGGGGTGGAGTAATTCCAGCAACATTAGGAAGTGTTGTAGTTGATACTGATACACAGACAAACTTATTTATCAAAATTCAGTTCTGTGATTGTGACTGCATGCCTTTTGGTTAGCCACATTAATCTCTAGGGAACTATTTTCTTTTTCTTTTTTTTTTCTAATTTTTTATTTTTTTTTTTTTTCATTTATTTTTATTAGTTGGAGGCTAATTACTTTACATCATTGCAGTGGTTTTTGTCATACACTGAAATGAATTAGCCATGGATTTACATGTATTCCCCATCCCGGTCCCCCCTCCCACCTCCCTCTCCACCCGATCCCTCTGGGTCTTCCCAGTGCACCAGGCCCGAGCACTTGTCTCATGCACCCAACCTGGGCTGGTGATCTGTTTCACCCTAGATAATATACGTGTTTCGATGCTGTAGGGAACTATTTTCATAGTTTGTTTTGTTGACTTCATCCCTCTGTGATTCGTACCCTCGGATGTTTGCCTTTCAGATATTTTTATAAGGAATTAGAATTTTCTTCCTAATGAAAAGATCCCTAGAACCATTGAGAGAAAAATCACCAAGTTATATATTTAATATAAAAAGTTATGTTGATTAAAAAAATTTTTTTTTAATCTCTTTGGTGATATAAGGGAGGTATTAATATTGTGACTGTGTCTAAGTGAATCTTTGAGATAAACTTGAAATATTTACAGATGAAATGATAGGCTCTCTGGGATTTGCTTCAGAATAATCTGGGAGTAAAGGTGGGAGGACAGTGGATTGGCTTTGATGAAGTTGGTAATGAATACATGGGCACTCTTTATATAAGGCTCTACTTCTGTGTATGTTTGGAATTTTCCATAATAAAACAATTAAAAATGCCATCTTGTTTTTTTTTTGTTGTTGTTAAAGAAGGCTTTGTGAGTAATTGTTTTTAACATAATAAAACTGCCCTAAACTTTGAATAAATCAAACTGTTGCTCAGTTGTGTAGATTTAAATTTTAATTGACAGAGTCAGAAAAGAATACATTCGCTGCTGCTCCTGTGTGTCAGGGGAACCTTAAGTGTTCTCCCACATGGGGGCGCGCCAGTGCCGATTAATACTATGACTGTCAGTGCTCTCACTTAGCATAACTCAGTAGGCGCATGATAGGTTACTGTTGGAGGACTGTGTTTATTACAGCTGTTTTTGAACTTACTTAGTTTTTGTATATTGCTTAAAATGTTACCAAAATCCTGCTCCTTACTTGAAAATTTCCACAAGTGTTAAAACAATTTTGTAGTAATAGTCATATTTTTTTTGTGCTCCATTTTAACAACATTTTAGAGTGTTTTTAAGATTTTAATTCTTATGAGGAGGTCCTCTCCATTTCTTAGGAAGTAAAGCAGTGAAAAGTCAATCTCATTGATAAGTTACAGTACTTTGAACAATGTTGTGTTCTTTGCTTTTATTCTCAGAAAACATCCAGTACAGACCTTTCTGATATCCCTGCTCTCCCTGCAAACCCTATTCCTGTTATCAAGAATTCAATAAAACTGAGATTGAATCGGTAAAAACAACCTCAGGGGTCCAGAAACAATGTCTGCCAACTCAACCTGTTGTCTTCAAATGCTAAAAAAGGAATGGAGGGTGCAAGACTAGACATGACTGAAAGTGGATTGAGGGTTTTTTGTGACCTCCCTTACTGGGCTAATCAGCACTTGATCGGAAGTCCAGGTTAGTATGTGAAGCCAGGAGTACTATTATTATTGTGTTAGCAACAGTTGCATTAACTATTTCAAAAAATTACTGCCTTTTAAAAAAAAAAACCTCAAGCTATATTTGTATTCATAATTGACATCTGGACTGGGTTTATGTTTGCTGCATTGTTTGGAAAATTTGCAATACAAACTGGCATAAGAATTCTTTATTCTGATGATGCACTTTTATGTATTTTTTTTATTATTATTAGAAAGTAGAAATAATTTTAGATTTTCAGCTTGATGGATTTTCATTTTTTCCTGAAGAATTTCCTTTACCATTAGTCTTCAAATCAGATGCCGTTGCGCAGTGGTGTATTGTTATGCTTCAGAGAAAGGATAAGAGTACATCTAGGTCAGTCCCTCTGAGGTAGCTGTAACCTTTAAAATGAAATGTCAACACTAGGGTATATATTTGACATTGAAAGCATAATTAGGAAATACTTTGTTTTGATGGGGTCATGATTAAGAAATGATATTGGTTTTTTTATTTATAGAAATGTTTAGAGTGCATACAAATCAGCGATCAGCCAGCAAATATTTTTCTTTGAGCTTGTTAAAGCTCTGTATTCTTTTGCCTTCAATCTGTTGTCTTTGAAACCAAGCTTTTCCCTCCCTCCCTCTTCTTCCCTCCCCCTACCCCTTTTGCTTGTATGTGTAAGGTAGGACTTCTTTCATAAAAAAACAAAATGCCAGTATTTTCTTAAGCCATGATGTGAAACCAGTGACTCTGTGGCTGTATGGCACAGAACACTAAATTTTGGTCCCATGGCTGAAACTTTAGGGTGACTAAAAATAATGCCTGTGAAACATGATATCTATCTTGGATGGCCGTTTGATCTCTAAATATGAGGAATTTTGTACACTCCACAGAACTCCTGTCTATAGTAAAGTTGATTTTCAATATTAAATGTGGGCAAAAAGGCATTTTCTCCAAGAATTTTAAATTAATTTTTATTTTTAAATGGTTGACCAAAACTTGTCAGTAAATTTTACACGTGGAAACATTTAAAAATCATTTCTAGCAAGCACTTGACATCTAGTCAGCTCTTTACTCCTTTTTCTGTTTTGTTTTATCTTCTCAGTAAATAATTCCTCATAATTAAGCAGCAGAGCATTCATCTTTACAAATACATGAGGGAAGCCAGATGTTGATAAACTTATTCTTTCTTAATCTGGACAAAGCAAACCTAACATTTTTCTGGTGAGCATGTTTTATGAATCCTCCATTGTGCTCCATTCTATCACATGTGCATTTTTCATGTTAAACTGCAATTACTTAACCTCTTCCCCATTCCCTCTAAATTAATTTTCCAGAGTTGGAGTGTAGTCTTCCCCCCCCCCCCCCCCAGGCTACGCATTAATTGCGGCTTTCTTTCCGCCATACTTCGTAGTCTCTAGCACACAGTGTCCTCCTTCCCACACCTTGGCCCTGCACAGCCGCCTTGCCGCCCCAGCTCCCGCGCGGACGAGACGGTCAGGCCAGCAGGTGAAGGCTGCAGGGCGGCTGTGTGCTTCGTGTAGCTGAGTTAGATCGAAACCGCCAGGCACAGACTTAGTCTTGTCATTTTGTTTACACATTGGGGAAAAAGAATTCAGTTTATTAAACGTTTCATGTACCTGCACCCAAGTTTTGCCAAGCTGGGAACTTGGACCTTTTCTGTGTAGTGACTTTTTAATTCTAGTTTTCATAACCTGGAGATCAGACTGTTGCTTTCGCATGATGTACGTAGTGTCTCATGACTGGAGTTTGCTTTGTTTTATAGTATCTGTACTCCTTGTATTTTTCAAGAGCTATTTTGTAAACAGATGATGTATTTCTCCATTGAAAACACAATAAAAAAAAAAACAGCACAATCCCACAGTTGGCTGATTTCTTTTGACTGACTTTTTTTTTTTTTCAGTGATTCCATTATTGCTACTCGTAAGTTATAGTATAGCTGTCAGTGAAGATTTGCTGAAGAATTTACTTTGGTTACTTTTAGGAAAGCTCTATATCTGATTAATTTATGCCACTAGTAGCAGCCTAATAATAATTGATATCTCACATAATCAGGTATTTGTTTTTCCTATAATTGGTCATTAGGGAGGAAAACATGAATATAGTACTTGATAATTAATTTTCAGCTGACCCATCCTCCAAAATACTTGCTCTGTTTGTATAGACACCGTCTCTTTTCTTTATATTTATTCCATGTAGACAGCAGTGTACCTACCGCTGCTATGCTTGCTTTCAAAGCTGGTGGTTTTCAAAGCAGTTGGTGCTTTATATCTAATGTCAGCAGGTGGCACTGTTGTTTTTCAGTGACTTTAGGATCCTGCGTTTCTCATTTTATTAAACGCAGATCAGATTCTACTTTTCTTAAACCTTTAAATGGTCAACAAGGCATACATAACTTACGGGTTAGGAATGGACTCTCTGTGCATGTGATGGTTAGCGTTTGGGTATGGTTATCTTAGAGGCTTTGAGTGGAGGGATTGACGTCCTTATGTTAAATTATTTCACGGGATGTGCAGTTGTGCATATTTTCATTCATGAAACTCCAGATTCTAATACCTTTACTGTATGTAAAAATAATACCTGATTGCAGTGTGGAATAACCTTTTATTAAGGAACATTTAACTTTTGGGACTATTCAACAAGAGACTATCCAACAAGGGACTATTTAACAAGAGAAACTTGTTAAAAACTACCCTTGACTCCGTTGCTAACACGTACAGAATAGAGCTTACCATCCTTACTTTGATGAGACACCCAACATGGGACTGGATGTTGCGACTTTGTGAGTTTTGTCACCCGTATGGCCTTTTGACATTTCATGCATCTTGCTGAATTAGTAAAATGATAATTGAAAATGTGTTTTGTGGTTCTGGGTATATTCTGGAATAAAGTTTGTATTTTTCTAATTAATACCTCTGTTTTTTTTCTCCACACAGAAAAATGTTTTAGAACTCTGCATAGTATTAATTCTGGCTGCACTCAAGGTGGCAATAAGTGATCAGCAGCTCCAAGTAGTAATTGATACATGAAAGGATAAATCATTAATATACACAAACTTATAGACCAAGCCCTGGAAATCTTAACCATTAGTGCACTTCAGTGCACTTAAGCAAAAAAATAAACTGTTTATCTAAAAAGGCGTTGAACAGTCCTTTGGATATACTTTGGCCTATTTTAAAATAAAAGAATAGTACACAGAAAATTAATTGCCTTTTACCCTGAATTATATGTTTTGCTTATTTATTTATTTATTTTGAAGTTTTGAAAACTTTTATTTTATATACAAAGAGCTAGTATTATTTCCGCCTAAGGTTGATGTGCTGGATGAGCCATCTAAGGAAGTTCAGTTAGTCCAACTTAATGAAGCTGATGTCCTTCACATACTGGCGGAAATACTGGCAGCACATATTGAGGCCGTATTTCTGGATCAGACCATGCCGGTTTGAGCAGACCCGGCAAGGGCGAGAACCCTGGCCGAATTTTCTTGGATGGCTCCAGTAGAGCTGCTGGTGACCCGTGTTGCTTTCTCGGCTGCAACGAGGTAAAAGGCTGTTTTGCTTTTTTAAAAAAAATTCTCCATTTTATTTCTTTTCTGTTAGTTTTTCTTCAAACCAAAATCACAAATGGATGCTGTCTCAATTGCAGACCTGAACTTGGCAAAAAAAAAAATTTGTGTGTTCTGTAATAAACATGACCTTCAGTCATATAGAGACAAGTGGTCTGTTTAATTATGTGTAATATGTTTCTCATTTGTAAAATCAATTTATTCATCCTTTCTCCGTAGTTGTCAGTTTAAAAATTCTTGTGACATTTTATATAGCTTTTGGCACCAAGAATGATGGCATCAGTAGTTCTGAGCCATGTATTGCAGAAGTGATTGTATGTACTTAATTCTAGAAATGATTTCAAATACTTGGAAAGTCATTTCAACTTCAGCTTTTCTTCCTTAGAGACATGCTTTTGTCTTAATGTTCTGGGAAATTCTTTGCAGCTGATCACACCATACACATTTGCTGAAAGGGATGGAATTTTAAGTGCATTGTTCCTTTCCTAGTCCTGTCTCAGTTCATAGGACTTGCTTAAAAGGGTAGAGTTATGGTTGTGCACAAGTTCCTATTTCAGAAAGCTCACATTTGTGTGAAAGGTTGTGACTGTAATTGTACTTTGGTCGTCTTTTAAATGCTTCACATTGGGATAGCTGCAAACCAGTATCTACAATGGGCACAGTTTTGTTAAGAGTTTATCAAGTTTAGCCACCTGATATTTAAAATGTTGATGTTGCAAGTAATCATACTTTAATATAATGTAAATAAGGCCATGCAGTCACTTTTTTCCTGTTTTGGATCTCTTCAAATTTCACTAATATGTGAAATGAAGAACAGAACAGTCGGTGTGTGTGCTGTAATCAAAGCTTTATATCTTTTACTATGATGTTCCCAGGGTACAAGATAATGCCTTATCAAAAATAGTTTCCTCCTTGCCACCCAGCTTAGAGTTTTTGTTTACATGTGTTGTTTTTATTTTTTAGTGGGAAGAATGGATTTATGTTAAATCTTTCACAGTCCTTCTTAATGGGTCCCAGAGTTGACCAGGGAAAGAGTTTCTTGGTTTTGCTTCACCTTTACAGAATAAACAGTTCTAGAAGCCGCAGAGATGATTGACCCTGGCCTTGAAGTTAACACTACCACTTTGGTCTTAGCAGGTCCTTTTCTACCTGAGCACAGACATCACAGCCCTAAGACAATTTACCTAAGACACACTATAGCAAAGTGCATTATTTAGAACAGTGTAAATTCAGTTGTAGTATTAGAAT